CAACACCTCTTGGGGGCCAGGCGCAGATGGTTTTCCAGAGCAGGCCATCAGAGGCATCTCCAGATGAGGACAGCATAGACTGCCTGTATGGGTAGGGATGCATGTCACCAGGTGTGGAGGAGCGTGCATCTCCACCCTGTGTAGACATGACATGTTTCTCCATGTCAGGTTGAATCCTGGCATAGGCAGGTTGGAGGAGTTTCTCATGGCAATGGTGCAGGTACCAATGGGTCACACTCTTAGTCCAGAAGAGGCAAAGCTGCTTATGAACCAGACGGTAAAGCAGGTCCAGGATACTCTGAGCATCCCGGATGATGTTGCTCGGCACCTCCTCATGCACTGCAGGTGGAATGTGGATTTCCTGATCCAGTGCTATGTGGAGAACTGTGAGACCCTGCTCATCTCCTCGGGGCTGCAGGTGCAGGATGCCCAGCTCCCCCCAAGCCCAGGAACCCACTGCCCAGTCTGTGTGAACCAGCTGTGTCCCACTGAGAAGCCACCAACCCTCTGCTGCATGCACTACTGCTGCAAGGTGAAGGTCCTGGGGTCTTTGGGTCCTGTAACTTTGCAGGGAATTGCTGCTGCCTAGTTGGTTGCAGTTGGTTGGCTTTGTCTGAGGCTGTTATCGGGTGATTTTCACAGAGCTCTTTTATTCTCTTCTCAGCTCCCTCATTTGTTGCGATGCTTCAGTTCCTGATTAGTCTGTTCCCACTTTAGTGCTTTTGAGTGCTTGTCCGCGGATTGTGGTGGTTTTGTGCACCCTCTGCTGGGTAGGGTGTGCTTCCAAGGGTCACATGACCCAGGTGGCGCAGCATCTGTTAAGCTCTGATCTCTCCTCTTCTGCCTTCACAGCCCTGTTGGAGTGAGTATCTCACAACTCGCATTGAACAGAACATGGTTGTCAACTGCACCTGTCCCATATCTGAGTGCCGTGCACAGCCAACTACAGCCTTCATTTGTTCCATTGTTTCCTCCAAGGAGATTATAGACAAGGTGAAGTAGGAGAGGTGGTTACTGGGTGCCCAAGCTCTGTTTCATTTTGATCAGCACTAGCAGATAATCTCGCTGCTGCTTTCCCCCTTCCCGTTACTAAGACGAGCAGTGTGATATCTGAGGCAGACCACATTTCTGCCCAGTGGTGTCTGTTGCTCTGATCATGGTCAATACCAGCTATTCAGGAAAGCATAACATCAGCAAAAGAGCACAGTGGTATTTTCTCTAAATGTGTCTCCACCAACGTGGTTCTTTCAACCAACATCTCAGGTGCATCCTTAGTTGAGGACCAGGTGGGACCTGTGGTAGCATCTCATGACAAGTATCTTCTGCTGGTGTGCTCTAAACAATTGTAAAATCTAGGACAAAGGAAGAGAAAACGTTTGAGCAATTTCATTTTATGGCTGCCTCAATGACTCCAGTGTCCTTTCTCTTCCATCAGTCTCTGGCTTTGAGCACTTCAGACTTTTGTGAAGGTGACAGAAGTTACCACATCAGACTTAATCTTCACTCTAAGTCTGTGTGGGTCTACAGACGTCTCTAAACTAGGCTTCCTGAACTCTGCTCACCTTAGCCTTCAGTCAGTAGGGGGCTGCTTGTTCTGATGCAGAAGCTACTTTTTCTCCCTATTCTTTCAGTTTTTGGTTATTACTTAGAGCTGAATGCCCTCCCCACCTAATGGCAGAGATGTGGCTGTTGCATGACAGACTCTTTTTGTTAATTGCTGGACAGAACAGGTATCTCATCTGTTTTCCACTGCTCCTTTGTTTGACAGTTCTCCACCAGCAATTGCTTCTCCAAAGATACGCTCCTCTTCTTCCAGCTTGTTACTGTCATTTTGATCCACTTCTAAGGAGGAATGAACAGTGGTCATAAAGGTTGCCCTATCTTGTAATTTTTCTTTAAGCTTGCAAACTGACAACCAAAATGGCTACAGAAAAACATTTCCTTTGATGATGTTTCTTTTGTATCTTGTTTTGTATAAGAAGAGCTTGGAGAATTAGTGCATGTGTCTGGGCAGTTAGTTCTTACTGGCTTTGCAAATCCTCTAGCCACACCTGTCTGAGAGCAGGATTTAATATCATGTTGCTGTGGCTATTTTATAAAAAAAAAAAATACTGCAGGTCAACAGAAATTGCAGCCAATTTTAACAAGTTGCTCTGCTGCTCTCACTGAAATGTTATCTGTTTCCCTTTTTGCCCAGTAAGTGGCATCGCTGGAGTGTTAATGCCTTGTGCAGAGTCACACATACAGTCATAAAATATCTTAGATTACAATAATCTGTGGAGATCTCTGGTCCAACCCTGTGCTGAAAAGGTCCACTAGCATCTTAGGTTAAGAAAAGCATTGACAGCAGGCTGAGGAAGGTGATCCTTCCCTTCTACCCCGTGCTGGTGAGACCACATCTGGAGTTCTACGTCCATTTCTGGGGTCACCAGTACAAGAAAGACATGGACATACTGGGGAATCCAGCAGAAGGCCACAGAGGTGTTTTAGGTTTTGGAACACCTCTGGGAGAAGCTGAGAGAGCTGGGTTTGTTTAGCCTGGAGAAGAGGAGGCTCAGGGATGGATTTTATCAACGTGTAAATACACAGTGGGATTAAGGAGCCATATTCTTGGTGATATCCAGTGAAAGGATAAGAGGCAGTGGGCACCAATTTATATACAAGGAATGACATTTAAACACAAGAAAACTTTTTTTGACAGTAAAGGTAAGGGGACATTGAAACAGGTTGGGCAGAGACGCTTGTAGTCTCTATCCTTGGTACCCTCAAAACACAACTGGACACAGTCCTGAGTAACACTGCTTTGAGCTGGAGGCGTTGGACTAGGTTTTCTCTCCAGAAGTGCCTTCCAACCTCAGCTATTCTGTGATTTTGTGAAACAGCCTCCAGATATGAAAGGAGGGGTGGGGAATGAAAGAGTAAACTAACTTAGTGTTACTTTGTTGTGAGCAGTTGTTCAGTCAGATGTAGAGCCCGGAGGCACGAGTCCCCAGTTGTAAGGCCTAACCATGCAGCTTCTCTGCCTTAAATCTCCTTCCTGGCTTCTTATTACAGTATGAAAAAGCCCTCCTCAGAGGCTATGTTGAGTGTTGCTCCAACCTGACATGGTGCACCAACCCTCAGGGCTGCGATCAGATCCTCCTTAAGGATGGACTTGGCTATGGGGCAGCCTGTTCCAAGTGCTCCTGGATGTCCTGCTTCAACTGCAACTTTCCAGAGGTGAGGCTGAGCTGAATCATGGGCAATACTGTCTTACATTTGGCACACACCATTCCGCTTTTGTGTGTGTTGACTGGCTCTTTCTTTCAGGCCCATTATCCTGCCAGCTGCAGCCACATGTCTCAGTGGGTGGATGATGATGGCTACTATGAGGGAATGACAAGTGAAGCCCAAAGCAAACATCTGGCTAAGCTAATTTCGAAGCATTGCCCAAGCTGCCAGGCTCAGATAGAGAAAAATGAGGGGTGCCTGCAGTGAGTATCTATTTTTGTTTGCTGCTGGAGACAGGAGAGGGCAAAGACATACAGTTAGGTCCATTGTGCTTGTTTGTTGGGGTTTTTTTTGGCTGTGGAGTAAGGGTTATAGCAGGTCTGTTTTATTGTTTGAGGAATGAGTGATTGCTTCTAATTCCTAGGAAAAGTAAAATATTCCTCAGGATTCAAAGTGAAATCCATTGATAGTTTCCAGCAGAGGCTTTACAAAATACATGCAGGGAAATGGATATTACTGAGTGAATTGGAGTGACTGGGTTGCACACTCCAGCCCTGTGATGTAGGAGAGCACTGAGAGGAACTCTCTGCAAGTGGCTGTTAGGACTGAGTGATTCCCATTGTTCTTCTCCTGCCATGCAGTATGACGTGTGCAAAGTGTAACCATGGCTTCTGTTGGCGTTGCCTCAAGCCCTGGAGGCCGACTCATAAGGATTATTACAACTGCTCTGCTATGGTGAGTGGTTTGCTATATCCCAGCGGTTTATGCTGGTGTTGAGATGCACCTGGCCTCTCAGAGAGAAGGTCAGAATCTCCACTTGTGCTTTTTCCTCTGGACTTTGCACGCTTGCCAGTAATATTGATAGTATTGTCAAAGTCTGTATGTGTGGTACCCATTTCCAGGCAGCCCTGGTACTTGAGGGAAATTGCTACAGGTTACTTCTACCTTTCCCTTCAGGTGAGCAAAGCATCTTGGCAGGAGAAGCGTTTTCAGGATTACAATGAGAGATGCACCTTTCATCATCATGCAAGGGTAAGGCCTCTTCCTTCCTTTGCAGCTGCTGACTCTGTTGCCTTAGCCCTGCTGAGCAGGACAGTTTCTGTTGTGTCTAAATATATTTCCCCTGAAGCTAAGGAGCAGGCTTTGGATCCAGGAGGATGGTTGGTCATTTCACTGTTGCTCTGATGTAATGGGTAGTTCTTCACCTGCTTTCTTTCTTCTGCTGTGGAAACTGAACACCTAACTTGTGTTGTTCACGTGCTCAGCCTGACGCAGTATGTAGAAGCGATGGCAACTGAAGGCTGAACTCTGTCTAGAGCTACTGAGATACTGTAAAAGGTTGAAGTGATGGCACAGCAGAGATGTCATAGTTGGATGCAGTAAATGCTTTCCTGCTGCCTGCATCTTCTGGGATGGCACTTCAGGATGCTTAGCAATTATCTGTGTGGAAGGTGCTGTTTTTTCAGTCTTGTGGATCTTGACGTTGACTTTTTTTTTTCCCCCCTCCTGTGGTTATTGCAGGAATTTGCTGTGAGTCTGAGGAACAGAGTTTCTTCCATCAGTGAGATGCCAAAAATTAGGACTTTGAACTTTGTTCTTGATGCCTGCAAACTGCTAGAACAGGCACGGAAGGTAAGGCTGGGTAACAGACTTGCTGAGGTTTAGGTCTAATTCTATTGGTGCATAAAACGTGCCTTTCTTAAAGTGAGGAGACGCCAACCTTGCTCTACTCCAAACAAGGGGAGACTGAAAAAGCTTGAAGGGAGGAACAGTATCAGGACAGGGGAAGAGCTCATGTCTGCCTTTCCCTGCTCTCACTCTGAGTTGGGCTCTGTCTGCAGTGTTCCTCACAGTCAGATCATAGGATTTGGAGCTTAGCTCAAGATGATACCATTGAATCAGCACAAGGATCTATATTTAGGGTTTTCGTATACTGGATTTGGTCCATTCCAATTTGAAATGCCCCAGTGGTGGTACTTACCTTTTGAAAGCTCTCTTGATGCTGTGTTACAGTTAGAACATCCCTCTTGATGCTCACGTTATGATTTTCCTTTCTTAAATTAATTTCATGAGCCATAGGTGTTTTGGGAGCACTGTTACCTACTGCGTGCCCTGGTAGCCACGTTATGAAGGATTTGTAATGCAGCCACTGAATGTGTGCAGTAAGGCTGTGACAGCATAGGCCTGCAATGTCTTCTATCCCCTGAAACATAGGAAGGAGGTGGGAATTGCGTTTACAGTATTGCTTTTGCAATATATACCTTGCTTGTGCAGGCAGACTTGATTTTGAGAGAGGAATGTGGAACAAGGATGTCTGGCCCTGTTTTGTCTTTTCAGTATGGTAGCCCCTCCATTTGCCAGGGTACATATCAGTGTTGCTTGCTGCTGCTGGCTCTTCTGCACCATTTCTTTAAATGGAAACAGTGGTCTTGTTTTCTGCTGAGTGCCCGAATGGCTTTAGGGATCATTAAATTCATAATAGGAGTCTGTCACTTGTTGAAAAGCCTTTGTCATGGGCTCTTGGTTCTCTTAGTTCATTGCTGCTTGAGTTCAACCTGGTCTGCCCAGCGATGTGTAGATCTGTGATGGTTGTTTTGACTCTCTGCCTGCTGGTCAATCACATTTGTTATGCATTTACAGTCTGTGTTCTTGTGATGGCTTGCAGGTGGGAACAATCAGTTATTTCAGACTTCAGTACAAAATAATTACACATTCATCTGCGATCCTATGAGTAACTCTAGGTAACCTGGTGCTGCTGTCACTTGGCGTAATGGTTCACTGGGCTATAGCCACAGACCAGAAGCACTGCCAGGCTTCTCTCAGTCACTGATACCTAATGAAGTCTGTAAGGGTTTGATGCTACTCTCTTCTTGCGCACTCTGAAGCTGAAGGAGAATGCTTACAGCATGATATGTACTGCTCCAGGTGCTGGCCTATTCCTGTGTGTACAGCTACTATAACCAGGACACTGAGAGCATGGATATTGTGGAACAGCAGACTGAGAGCCTGGAGCTGCACACTAATACTCTGCAGATCCTTCTGGGTAAGTCCCACAGCCTCTCCAAAGCAGAGACTAGCATTCCCAGCTGTCTGGTTCAAAGGGTGGCAGCTCTGTAGTGGGGCAATAGTATACACACCAGCATGCAGCTGGTCTCTCTCACTTCTCACAGCCCATTTTTACCTTCTTGATATCATATCTGGAAAGTCCACCAAAGCAGTTTGGCTGCCAGCAGAGACTGATGCAGTAAGGAGCAACATGTTCCCTTCTGAAAGAGGAATGTGTGTGCACAGGAGACCAAAGTAGCTGTGACTGGTGTCATAATCAGAGCCAAGGGACTCGGTCTCTGCTTAAGAGTGTGGGAAGCAGTGTGACCTTGTTGGCTTTGAATTGCAGAGGAAACCCTCCTGCAGTACCAGGATCTGGCCTCTTCTCTTCAACTCCTGAAAGAAGAGTGTGTCAGTGCTGGCTTGGAGTTGATACACCAGATCAAGGAGCGTCTCTTTGCAATTCTCTGGCACTCCACACAGGTGAAGTCCACATGCCTGTTAGTGGCTTGTCTTGCTCTGGTCTAGTTTGATCTTGGGCAAACCTAGAAAGGGGCTTGATCAGCTGAAGGGATAGACTCTCAGTGCTGTGTGCATGTAGGGAAGGGGTTTGCAGCACAAGATACACCCCAAATCCCATATTGTCTCTTTCTTCTGGTTGTTCGTCCGTGCTAGCAGGATTTCCACATTGGGCTCCAGACTTTGTCAGATCCTGGTCAGAGAAAGGTGAAACTCTCGAATGTGCCTACTTCAGCCGCTGCCTGTATAGGGTGAGTTTTTTTAGCAGAGTGACAGGGAAAGGTGGGTGAATGCAGGCAAAAAGCAGGTGACCAGGCTTTTCTCCTGTGCTTGCTCACATACGAGAGGTAATAACAGATACTGATTACTTGCATCCTATGTTGTGGTTTGAGAAAATAATGTAAGTGACATAGTGGTGTAGGGACACCGGCGAAACCTCCACTTGGTATGCAGCTCTGGTCAAGAAAGCTCCATTGCTGGCAGACCCAGTTATGGAAGTCACTCTCCCAGGACTCTTTTGGGTTTCTGTGGGGAGTCACGCTCTTTCTTCAGAAATGTGTTGGAGATTTAGGAAGGTGTCTAGATGAAAGAAGCAATAATAGGAATATACATGGGAGGAGATGGAAGGGCCTGACATTTAAGAAGGGAATGGAGAAGAGGTGACACAGCTCTAAGATAGTGTGTTGAGAGGTGAAATGGATGGTCTGTTGTTTCCCTGTCCTAGAGTACTGACCTGGCAGGTGTTAAGTATGATTGAAAGGTGATGAGTTCGAAACAAAGTCCATTCCTATATGACATGCTGTTTAAACCAAGAAACACAACTGGCATCTATCCCAGTGTGACTAATCTCCCCTGACAGCTGCTGTGTTTCCAGGAGCTGAACAGAGTGCTGAGTGTTGCAAGAAAGAATGACAACTGGGTCAAGAAACACTTTGTTTCAGAGCAGGGTTTCTGGTCTCCTTGAAATGAAGCTGAGGCACCAGAGCTGGTGGCAGACTGCTGCTTGTTGACACAGTCACAGGTGGCTCTCTGACACAGCCCTGTGCTTCATGCATGGACAAGGCCATTTAATCACCTTCTCCTACAGGCAGCTGCATGGCTGCTGTGTCCTTGAGGCATGGCTTTGGGTGGGGATGCTGAGGTGATGGTGGTATGGAGGATGAGGGTGATGTGGGGCTGGGTTATGGTTGCTGCTCACAACTGGTGCTCTGCTCTGATGCTCTGTTCCTCAACAGGCCAAAACATACCATATTGTGTGACTCCCCCAACACAGATGAAGGTGGCAAAGAGGTTGAAGATGAGGAGTATGAACCACAGTGGCAGGAAGACTATGATGATGATGATAACTTTGATGAAGACAACTTCCTGTTTGATGATGAGTCAGATAACCTTGATTGTGACTCTTACTTTGATGATGATGATACCTATGACTAGAAGTGGGCAGTCACCCAGCTGGCTAGCCTGGACCTCTGCCTCTACTCTTCCTCGACCAGTTTGTATTGGTCTCTTTCCTCAAAGACAGTGAGGAGCTCTCGGGGAGAATGAAGGGACATTTCATCTGGGGGCTACTTACTCAGTGACTCCCCTTTAGTATGCAGAAACATTGTCCTGGACAGATGGGCTGTGTCACTGTGCCACCTCTCTCAGAAAGACATCTCGCCTTTCTCCCTTGTCTCCATTTCTGCCCATAGGTATCTAATTGCATTAGAAAGTCACAGTCCAGCTGCAAAGTGAGGGCTGCTTGTCACCTGTTAAGGGACTGTTCAGTGTCCTTGGATCTGCTCTCCCCAAGGACTGAACACAGGTGAGTGTGGCATGTGTCCTAGTATGGCACTGTCTAATCCAGCCTGTGTCTGGGAATACTAGAAAGCGATGTGTTTACACTCAAGTCAAAGCCTCCCCTCTGGAGCTGGTGGGATTCCCTCCAGAGACACAGATGGATGTGGTTCAGTGCATTCCTCTAGCTGAGGGGAACAGCTTGTTTGCTGGTGGTGTTGTCTTCTCTGCTATGAAGCAGCATGGGCTGCTACGAGTGGCATAAGTTTGCAGGACTGTTTTTAAGTGTATAAAAATGTACACACACACATATGAGATATATATATGTGCAGAGGTTGTTCGGATAATTCTTTATCTTTGCAAAAAAAAAAAAGGAAGAAAACCCTGAGGAACAAGGGTTGAAAAAAGTTCTGTTTAAAACAGGAACAGTTTTCTTCTAGCACAAGCCTCCTTGTTGTCTGTGGGGAACATGGGTGTGAGGGGAGAGCAGGACCTTCTCGAGGGAGGAGGATGGGACCTTGATGTGCTCATCCCAGGAGTTATTTGTGACATTGATGTGGGTTTGGGATCCTCACCCAGGCCCTGCGGTCTGCCCTGCAAAGTGGCTTTTCCTTCCTGGGCAGTTGAGGAAACAGTAAGATGTATGGGGAGGGATGGAAAAGAGAGCAGGGGAGCAGACCCCACAGAGGGATGGTGCTGGTGTTCCTGGGAGCAGGTGCAAGACAGAATGCCTGCATATTGATGAAGGTGGGAGCATCTGGTGCTAAGCAGGAGGCAGATGTGGGACTGTTAGGAGGGGTTTGGGGGTTGAGTTGGAGCTTTGTGGGATTGTTGTGGAGATACAGGCCTCTTCTCAGGCCTTGGGTAGCATCTGGGAGGGATGTGGGGTTGTTAGGGGATGCTGGGCAGGGGACAAGTACTGGGGCAGACCAGGGAGAGAGGACTGTTTTTTCCATTTTCTTCCACCCCCTTGCTCCTAGTCCTTGTTGCTACCTGGCTCGGAAACCACCCTGGTGTAGGGAGGGGAGGCAGGGATGAACATGGTTTGTAGAGGTTCTATGGATCCCCTTGGGGCAAGTTAAGGTGAAACGGCACCAAACAATTGCATACTGGCTTACAACTTTAATGCATATAATCTTTAGGGAAAAAGGGAAGCATTGAATGTAAAATGTAACAGAATTACCAAAAAAACCCAAATGGCTTGGTAACGACAACTCCTAACAACACCCACTGCCAACACCAAAACTTCCAACAATGTGATAACTATGAACGCTGTAATGACAGCACAACTACCAACAATACTAAAAACCTGCAATGCTTATAAAACTGGCAATCACTTACCAGTACTAAAACAAGCAATCACTTATCACAATGAGACTTTCCACAGAAACCTGCGGAACAAGTCCCAGAAGGAGCTGGCATAAAATTTACAAGCCTACAAGCCTGCTCTTTTTTTTTATTCACCTTTTATAGACCAAAGTTCTCAGGTCTCTGCTTAACTTTCTTTAATTAGCATAGGACATGATGGAGGTGTCTCCTTAATTTGCATGGGAAGCACCATCTTTTTTGTGCAGGTGCAAGAGGGGAAAGGGCAGCATTAACCCTTTCAACCCATAGGGTCAGTGGTTGTGCAGACCTTGGATTAGATTGTATTAGACTAACTTTGGCTGAACTTTCTTTGTTGGTGCCTTCAAGTGTGTGTGGGGGTGGTGACCCTGTCACACTGTTAAGCAAAAGAAGTTTGCTATGTCGTAGGAGTAAGGCTGTAAGTCCTTTGTTAGTGAGGGGAGTAAAGCCTTTGGTGCATTCCTCACTTCTTATCAGCAAGGAATACAACAACTGCTTTTTAAAACTGAGGTGTTTGAGACGTCACAAGACCTTTCCTTGTAGAAGGAATTATTAAGGTCTTATTTCTTTAAGAAAAAAAGAATAAGACCATGCATGTTGAGGTGCCCGTAGGGGACGGTCCTGACAAGAAGCAGCTCTAGCTACAGCATCTCCATGCAGACCTGCAGGAAGAATCATAGACTGGTTTAGCTTGGAAGGGACCTTTAAAAGTCACCTAGTCCACCCCCTGCAGTGGGCTTCCATTAGCTTGGGTTGCTCAGAGCCCCATCCAACCTGATGTTGAGTGTCTCTAGGTCTTTGCCACCTTTCTGGGCAACCTGTGCCTGTGTCTCACCACTCTCATTGTAAAAAAATTTCTTCTTTATATCTAGACTGAATCTCTCCTCTTTTAATTTAAACCGTTACCCTTTCTCCTGTTGCTGCTGGTCCTACTAAAAAGTCTGTCCCTATCTTATAAGTCCCCTTTCAGCACTGGAAGCTGCTGGAAGGTCTCCCTGGAGCCTTCTCTTCTCCAGGCTGCACACCCCCAACTCTCTCAGCCTGTTGAACAACCCCAACTCTCTCAGCCTGTCCTTGCACGGGAGCTGCTCCAGCCCTCGGACCATCTCCTGGGCTCCTCTGGCCCCGCTCTAGCAGTTCCGTGTCTGTCCTGTGCTGAGGACCCCAGAGCTGGATGCAGCACTGTGGGGGGGGGTCGGGTCTCACGAGAGCAGAGGGACAGAATCCCCTGCCTTGACCTGGTGGTCACACTTCTTTTGATGCAGCCCAGAATACAGTTGGCTTAAAGAAGGGGCAAGCTGCAACAAACTCCCATGCATGACATCTATACAATCTCATTGATGCAAATAGTTTACACAGAACCCTGAAGTGTATTGGGCAGAAAAGCTCCAAGGTTAAAGCCAAACACCGTTCTAAGCTCCCTGACCACAGAGAGTGAAACCAGAGTGTGCCCATGGGGGAGAAGGCAGCAGTACCTTCACACACAGGAATGCTTTGGTCCTCTGAGCCTCCTTCTGCGATTTGTGGTGCAGATTTTCGGTGATGTCCTGTGGCTGTTTCACCAGCTCTGTAGGGTCCATCAAGCTCATTGGCACAATGCTGAATACTAGAATGAAAGCAGATGGTTCAAATGCAAGAAGCTTTGCCATAGCTGCAGGTCTGCAGAGGTCAGCTGTGAACTAAGCCACCCTGAACTGGTAACACACGTCTCAGCGCTGCAACAACTCAGCAAATCAGTGCTTAAGCTAAGGCAGGGCATGAAAAACACACTCCCTGTGCCAGTCTCCCACCCAGTGCAACCATGAATTTATGGAGTGCTTCTAAATGGCTCATTTCACTTCAAGGAAATATTTTCTTTTGAAAAGCAGCAGTGTATCCTACTTGAAAAAGAAACAACCTTGATCCTTGCCTTTTCCCAGACCTTCTTCCTGTCCAGAACTCCTGGACCTTTTTTTGTCACCAGGCCTGGTTCCTATGCCTTCTTAACCACTAGCTACGTGTCCTTCTATACCAGTATTCTGTAACTTTCTGAAGGGGGAAAGAGAAACAGGTTAAAAAACCCAAACAAATAACAGACCAGCCGCTTCCCATCCCAGAAGTCACCTATTTTCAGTGACATGCAAGGGCTCCTTTGGAATCTTGCTTTTTTCGTAAAGCAGGCCATGCAAACAGAAAATACGTAAAGCAGCTGGGGAAGAGGAAGGAATGGCAGCTTTCTAACCACTTTCCTCTGTGGCTGTCTTCACAGCTACATGCATGTAGGCATGTACAATACAGAAAAGGACAGTGGATAAACTGCATCTCCTCCATCGCACTACTCAGACAGCACATCGGAGCACTGCAAAAACATATTTCAAGTAGGAAACCTTCCCCATACAAAGGCAGCTAAGCTATGGGAACAAGATATTCTCAAAGAACAGGCTCTTTGAACCACTGCCTTTTGGTTAGCAAGTTCAATGTTAGAAAGCAACAAAAGAAGCAGCATTCTCTTTCACATTTTACATAGCAGACTGTACCAACACAGAGTTCAACTCCAGTCTGAACCCCAGAATAAGAATTGCAAACTTAAAATTTCCAGAAAAAGAAAGGACTTTGAAGTGGAAACATCATAAAACATTCATGAAAGTAACAGCGGGCACATGCACATCCCTTATCACAAACTACCTGCAGCCTTACCCAAGTAAATGATATTCTCAGCTAATTCACAGCCACTGTGGTCTGGAAAATAGCGCACGGTCTCTTGGTCGTAAGCACCAAGCACATAGGTTGGAATTGGAGCTGGGGAGGAAAAACGCAGGCACTCTGTCTGCTTGAATTCAAGGACATTAGCACAAGCTCAGTCCACATTCATTAGGAATTCCGGCAGGTCCCATCCATTCCTACAGACCCCAGCACCACTCCTTTGCAGTGTGCTGAGTGAAGGGATGAGTTACACGGACTCCTGTCGGCAGTTGATCAGAAGACCTTTATTGCATTTTTACAGCACAATATATACTATTTCTTTAGTTACACACACTGTCCACACACCTGTTCCTGCTGTTCTATTGGTCAGCACGCGCTGTTCACATGCCTCAGGCTAACTTACAGTCGGTGCTTCTATAAAGCTTAAAATTAACATTGTGATACTTTTAGATCCGCAGCTTCTGAAAGAACCATGTATTCTTGCCAGTCTTGTATCTCTCCTTGATGCAACATTGTTGTTAAATTGTTTATCTTGCCATTACTCAAGCTCCTGTTCTGAACACCAAATTCCTTCTTGTATTCATTTCAAGGATGTATCGAACAACTCAAAGTTACTTGTATCAAAGTCA